AGATGCAGATGGACTGCTGAGTCTTGTCCTACAGGACAAGACTCAGCTGTCCATTATCCTTAAGATGCAGATGGACAGCTCAAGTTGGACTTCCAAATCAGAAAACAACCCCACCGACCTTGACTTAACCATCCAAGTTGGCGGCAGCCCATGTAAATATTAATGAAACTGTAAAACTCGTACTCTGCCACTGCACTGCCACTGTTGTGTTGATAAATAGGTCACAAATACACAGTTAAAAATCTGCAATCTACAAACTACAATAAGAAGTGCCCAGTTCTGCTCAATATCAATTTTATCGCCTTAAAATCTCTCCTTAAAAGAGTCACAGTTTTGAAGGTGGAGCCTTTGGAAATTAATTGCAATCTCTTCAGCTAGACTCTATTTGTGAATATGCTGCATGTTTATAAGCACAAAAAAATAAAGAACCATTCCACTGTATTGCTAGTGATATATGAATGACTCTACCTTGCTAAGAAGCAAAAAGAAATCCAGTATTTCATAGCTTTTCTGACTTTGCTACTGGAACACAGTGAATTCAGGACTGATAGCTCCAGCATCCAGCCTACAAAGCAAAAGCAATGCTGCATTCATTTTTGAATTCAAGTGTTTTCAATCCCATCGTCACAGGTATATAAAATCAAGTAACCTACCCATGCAGTCTGCCTTTTCAAACACTTGTGAAAAAATTGGCTTTTCTAAAAAGCTCCCTGAATCTGCTTGTTGTCCTGTAACAGGATTCCACCTTTGCAACAAGTTGGTTTGTGAAATTCCACAATTTTGTGATATTCCACAAGCATCTGTAAGTGGTATTATTGCAAAGTGAACACATTCAGTAATCACAGCAGCTCAGTCATGAAGCCGCAGACCTATAAAGCATCAGAAACAGGGTCAACAAGTGCAAAAGTCTGCAGAGTTCCAAACCTCCTCCAGCATTAACATCAGCACAAAATCTGTATGCTGGGAACTTCACGGTGTGGGTTTCCATGGCTGAACAGCTCCTGCACGTGTTGAGTGTTAAGGATTTAAGTAAGTAACATGCAATTTAAATGCTCGAATTAAGGAGGAAAACAGACGTTTGATATCAGTTATGTATGCTCTAATATTTCTCATGTAATTGGATAAAAATACTCCAGAAATCATCAAGCCATGGATAAACCAAATCATCATTTGGTTTATCCAAAAAACATGTATCAAACTTTAAACACTCTACAGGAAGTATTTGCAGTTTAAAGTACTGGGAAACTCGAGCTTCGAGGTAAAGACGCCGTTATTGACTCTGTGGACTTGGACACACGTTGTTTTAAATCTGTTGTCTGTCTCTTGTAGGGCTTGCTGGTCTAGACGCGCGCTCCAGTGGAAGGATGGGTAGCCGAGCCATGGTGTACTACATGTCCACCACTGTAATCGCTGCCGTCCTCGGGGTCATCCTGGTGTTGGGGATCCACCCAGGGAACCCTAAGCTGAGGGGAGACAACTCATCATCCACATCCACGAAAAACCAGGAAGTCAGCAGTCTGGACGCTTTCCTTGACCTGATTCGAAACCTCTTCCCAGAAAACCTGGTGCAAGCCTGCTTCCAGCAGGTACCCTCCACATTAACCATCTACTGCTTCATTATCTTGGCTCATCTTGAACCATAAGCTTTCAAGCAAACTGAAAATGTTAATATAAACATAGCAAAGAAAGATTCTTGACTAATACGTTTCCTTTTAATAAAACGCGAGTGTTTCCCAGTATTGCTTTGCTGGGACTTTCAGCATCAAAGCTTTTGGTAAGGCTCTACATTATATGAAATTTTCATCATTCAGCTTTAAGGTGACGATAATCAAACTACACTGAATAGAGAAAAAAATTGGTAAATAAATAATATCTGAAGTTTATTAAAATTGTATTTTTTGTTTTTCAAGATAAATTTCCTCTTTAATTTGAATGAATGTTCACAGACATCGCTTCATGTGCTTCATGTGCTTCATGTTAATAGTTGCAAACTACAGATTTAAGTTTCCAAAACAGCTACCACTTGGGTCCTGAATTGTGATTGTTTTGTCAGCGATTGTCAACAATTATTATTGCTAATAATTATTATCCAAAGTGTATCATATTGGAAAGTCTTGCTTGTGCCCCAGGCCACATTTGAGGAGATGAGCTTTTCTGGATAAGAGATTACTGAGCAGTTTGAGAGAATGAAGGACTCGGACAGAGTTCTTAAAAACGTATGGTTCTCCAGAGACGTTAGCTGTTCTCCAAACTTCATACGTAACAATTTTTACACATGTTGTCTGGACTGATTCAAAGGCTTCATTTGGATAGAAAGAGGCTAAGAGGCCACGCAACTCTTTGGACTGTTGGAGGAAGCCAGAGTACTCACGAGAGACTCACGCAGGTGTGGGGAGAGTATGCAAACTCCACACAGAAAGATCACAGGAGTCAAAGCCAAACCCATCCCCGGCAGGGGTGGGCAACTCATTTTCTAAAGCGGCAACATGAAAAACTGGGACTGGTGTGGATTGCTGCAGTAATAAACTTATAAAATTAAATTAATATTAAGTAGAAATGAGTTCAGATCACTGGTGCAGATCTCCACAACAGTTCTGGGATAATTTGTTGCCCACCCAGGGCCCAGAGTGTAATAATCTAGTTTAAAACAAATACTAATAGAAAACTTATCAAATGAACCACTGAAAACATGTTTTACATACTAAAAGAAGATAAATCAGTGCCATTGTAATTCATCAAGTCATTTATCAAATAGATCTAGGGTTGCTTTTTTCCATTCTTTGCAATGTATTGTGAGTTAGTGCTAATGGTGCCGTCGAAGAGGGACAATTCAGGAAGCGGCTTCTTCTGTCCAATCCTGTTTTTTTTCTGTCATGCATGTTCGTCTGAATGATTAGAAGTAGTTATCTGTGTTTGACTGGGCGATGGTCAGCCGTCCTGCAGCTACCGCTAATCTCTTTACAGCTGCAAAGCCACATACTTATTTAGTGCAGTAAGGCATCTGCTGGTGAACCGAGAGCTTTATTTCTGTCTGCATCTTTATTTTAAACCGCGTCTTTGTTCATATTCATCAGGAATTCAGTAAATTCATGTAAGTCACCGCTTTAGCAGCAGGGAATTGTCCTCCCCCCTTTCAGCCTTTTCGTCTCCTTTTTCTTTCCCTTTGTTGTATTTATGTTTCTCTTTTGCCTTTTCTTTAAACAGAAATCAGAGCACGTCGTGCCGCTGCCAAAACGTTGTTTGTTCACACACAATGGGAGTTACAAAATCTAAGCACCCCGGCACAAACCACAGAATAATCTGAATGTCGCCCCGTGTTTCCTTCAGGTTCAGACGGTGCTGAAAAAGGTGCCGGTCGCAGCACCGAACCAAACTGAGCCCATATTAGTGAACAGGAAAAAACTGGAATACAAATGGGGCATGAACGTCCTCGGTGAGTTGATAACAGAGTTCGTATTGCAAGACGCTCGCGTTTTCCACGTCTCTTTTTGGTTATTTGTTCTCACTTTTCCACTCACTCGCTTGCTTTGTGTTTTCATCAAGGTTTAATTGGCTTCTTCATCACCTTTGGGATCTGCATGGGCCGGATGGGCGAGCGTGGGAAAGTCATGTGTGACTTCTTCAACATCCTCAATGAAATTATCATGACGATGGTGTCCATGATCATGTGGTCGGTGTCTTGTATTCCTTCATTCGTATTTGTGTGTCTGTGTTTAAAAAGTGCGTGCCTCTGTTTTTCCTCTTGGTGGCCAACGTTTGACATTTTGGCGATGCCGCATACAACGGTCGGAGACAGTGATGGATAAGGCGAAGACTGTGTGCTTGAGGCAAATTGTGGGAACAAGCAGCAAGGTCAGATAGGGAAAAAAAAACAAAGAGGAAGAGGGAGAAAGTGTGTCAGTGAAGGACGCAGACAGATGGAAAGAGGGAGAGGGTTTCCCTGGGACATGCTGGAGTCTGTGGTATGCCGGGGAGTAGCAGGAGCCGGGGCCCGGAACGGCGTTGTGGGCTCCCAGGGGAGCCGCGGTGGAAGATCTCCAGAATGTAATGGATCCATCGATGACAGAGGAGCTACTTGGTGGCAGAGCAGAAAGCAGATGCGGGCAGGAGGGACGTAAAAAGATGCATTCCTTCAGAGAGCAGCGCACGTCTTGAGGCTTCACAGAGCCCAGGCAAGTGGCGCAGGGAAAGTGTAGCGGTACTCAGAGCGGGGACGGGAAAGGAAAGGAGGAGTAGAGTAGGCGGTTGGACGAGAAACAGCAGGACGCTTGTCTCGCAGCTCCTCTAAGCCTCCTCTACATGTGCAGCTGGACACCAAAGGAACTGTATCATTGTCTGTATCACTCACTCAGTGTAAACAGATTACTCACGGGCTTATGGTGCGAGCCAAACACAGAATCCAGTGTATACAAAAAGCACGCATCATACAAGGGGCATATCTATCAAATCATACACATGGCATACCGCACCAAACAACTGTCCCTGGATGCCAGCTGACCTGGGAGAATGCACCGTCTCGTGATGGGACAAGGAGTCGCTTTAATTCAAGCGTCCCAATAACTGCAGTCTGTATTCATGAACAGGGACAACTGCTCTCCAGAGCTGGAAACCAGAGATCCAAGCATGTGTCCTGTCCCCTCGCAGAGAAACGTGCTTCATTGACTGTGACTAAAGATTTATGAGGTGGCGAAAACGTTGGCCTGACATTAAAAAAAAGTAACAGGGTGGCTACAGCTCCTTAAATATTCTTAAAATATCTTAAATTCACATCAATTTATAAAAGGCCTTGTAAAACTTATAGTCATGTCACCACATGGATTACTAGAACGCAGTGCCGCCATTTCTGCGGCATTGTTTATTGTTCTGCTAACCCTTTTAAATGTGTTTTATATGTGTAAATATAGTTAATGGCAACAGGGCGCTTATAGGCGAATTATTGGCTTATTTCATGGTTGTTGTGTCAGAAAACATCTTAAAATACTGAAATGTGATCCTGGCAGTAACATGCAGACATGGTGAGCAGTGTTGGTCAAGTTACTTG